GAGCCACACATAATTTAGAAAAAGAATGGGACCATCTTCTTCCTAGTTTCCTCCTCTTTGGCATCCAGGAACTGCTGAGGGACCCCGCTTGAATTATTTTGTGCACTGAGAAGTAGCGACCAGAGCTCTTTCATAAACTTCCCAGTATTTTTCTCCATGAATCCTGTTAGCGCAATTTGAACCTCCTTTCCATTAACTTTCTGCAGGCAAAGAAAATGCCCTTCAAAATATTACTAGCGGCCAAAGAAAAACACAAAAAAAAAAAAAATGAAAAAGCACACAGAAATTTCACTTCAAGTTTGGATTAAAATAGCAATTCCACATCCATAATTGCTCCATTCCATAGCTCATTTAATGTGTTTTCAAAGAAGAAAGACATTACAGAGTATCTGAGGATACATGAGTTAAAGACAATGAAACAGAAAATTAAACAGTTCACATTTTCCCTGTCACTTAAGTTTATCAACTGCCAAATAGATACTATCAATCGAACATGTAAATGACGCCCCCAAGAAGATCAAAAAAGGAAGCGTGGTCTAAATTACCTTCGCATCTAGAAGGCCATATATGAAGTTGATGAGCACTTCATCTTCAAATCCAAGAAGTTCAGTTACTCGGTGTGCAATCCATGGTCTCATCACATCCATCTTAACCTTCGTCATGTCCACCTAAACACACAATTCATAGGAAATTGGTAAGTACGATTTTTAAAAAATGGACAGAATTGAGCAAACTCCAACCAAATTCCCCCAAATATCGACACAAACTTTGAGAAAATGACGAACCTGGTGATCCAATTCAGGGGCGAACTTCTGCGATTTCAGCAGTTTGGCTTGTTTGTTCGAGAACCGAGTGTCCTGATCAGCCGACGTGCCCTACCAAAACACAATCAACCACTAAATGATTCCAGTGGAATACAAAATTCTATGCACACAACTAGCCTGGATCTGAGAAAAAATCACAAATCATTCGAAAGACTTCACATCATTAGAAAATTTACCCGGAAAAACCCTCCCGACATTTTCTAGGGTTTGTGATGGAGGCTGTGGAGGAGGGTTAGCTTGAGCCAGTGAATCGAGGATATGCTGGATGAAGAAAAGAAATGTTTGGTCACGCAGTTTATGGAATATCTTAACCCAAAATGGTGGATGCGAACCCTAATTTTAGTATCGTATTTATAACTATAACCCTATTATTTTTACAGCTTCTCTTCTAATTAATTACATTTAAGCCCCCCTACAGTTTATCACTTAATCATTTAAACCTTTTTACATTTAAAATATTATACACAAATCCCCTTAAATTTGTAGATGTGTAACATATAGACCTCAGTCATATTAGTATATCTGTTAATAAATTATATGCATATTCTTAAAATTTAAACATATAATACTTAGACCCTTCAAGTTTAAAATATTATATTTAGACTAAAAATGTTTCAATTAAAGATAGAATATCAAATTTTTTAAGTTTTACAACTAAAATTTATATTCTATTATGTCATTTATTGAAATAAAATCAAAAATAACAATTTAATCTTTTCTTAAAAAAAAACATAATTAGTACTGTTGATATCAAAATTTGAACAACTTCATCAGTAATTTGTTGAGTTTCGATCACCTAAAAACAAAATCGGAGACCGGAGGGGACACTCTGATGCCTAAGTCAATAAGTAACTCAAAAATATGAATTGCATTTTTCTTCTCAAGTGACTCAATATCTTCTATCTTTTATTTGGGTAATTTAATCGTTTAATAGATTTCGTTAGTTTCATAAAAGATTTAAGTTTAATATTTTAAATTTGAGAGGTCTAAGTGATATATGCCTATAAATTTTAGGGACCCTGTATATAATTTACTAATAAATATATTAATAACATTGATGACAAGGGTCTAATTGTTATGCGTGTACAAACTTTAAGATATTTGTGTATAATATTTCAAATGTCAAGGAATCTAAGTGATAAATCTCGAGAGATTTAGATATAATTTTCCTTTTCTTGTGCCCTATATAAGCACTTCTATCATCTTTATTAATTAAACCAAAGTTTAATTTACTATCATCTTTTATAACTACTCAACATCTTAATCTTTGTAAAATTAATCTAGCACATTAATTGATTATTTTTCAATAATGTTCGGAGAAGGGCATGGAGGGGGTAAGAGCTCACGCTGATAAGAGGTGTAGGGTGATAATGAAGAGATATTATAAATTCTGTGTATCACATAAGGTGATTATTAGTATATAATTATCTCACTTATTCTCATCACTTGTTACGGAGTTATTGCACATGGGTAAGTGCCATATTTTTTTCCATGTAAAAAAAAAATAACTCATAACAACATAAAAAACCTTCAAAAAATTTCACATACCAAAAAAATCATCATATTTGACTATATTGTGTTGAAAACTCAAAAAATAAATTTATATCTTAAATTTGTAGATAATAATGATACCAAAGTTTTTATTATTTCATGATATTCATGTTCGCTAATAGTCAAAAAGTTAACCTATTATGGTCTGTTTGGTAGGGTGATTGAAAAAATTGAAAAATGTTTCTATCATTCAATTGAGGAATCCTTCGTTTCATCCTTTGTATTTGGTAATAGGGATGGAAAGTAGGATGACGAATTGATTTTTTTGCGTTTGGTAAAATTGAAAAAATAAAATTTTTTATTTTTTATTATCAAAAATATAAAATACATATTTTATTACTATTTTTATATACATAATATATAATTGATAAATATGATATATGTACATATTAAATGATATATATAAACAAATAACATACATTTCAACACACATAATTAACTTTTCATTCACTTTTTCTTCCATTTTTTGAGGGATTTATTTTGGTGAGTTGGAAGAAAAGCTCATTCATCTTGGTTTTCATCATTCTTATTTTCTTTTCTTAAGAAATATGATGTTTTATTTATCGCTTAAACTTTTCATTATTCTATTTTTTTCATTGTACTAAGAGTAATGTCATTTAGACCTAATTTACTATGTCCTTTGAATTGATTGTGGAGTCCATTAAACATTGAAAATTAGTGTTGATCTAATGATTTCACTAAAATCATATTATCATATTAACAAATTATGTCAAATTTTTATATTCATATAGCACTACACTTGTACTAAATGAAGCATTAATATTGTTATTTGAAAAGTGTAATATACTAGGGGTAACTCATATCTGAAGGCACGTGAGTGAAGATCCAATAGAGAGAGAGAGAGTGAAGAGTGAGGAGTGAGGAGAGAAAGGTAAAATTTGATGTGAATGGTTTTGAGAGGGTGTTGGTAGGCGTTGGATGAGTTTATTTAAGACCATTGAACTTCAACTTTTCATCATTCCATTTTTCATTGTACTAAGAGTAATGCTTTTGAGACCTTTGCTGACTAATTCACTATGACTTTTGGATTTATTATGTGGCCCATCAAATATTTAAATTTAGTGTTGATCCAATGGTTCCACAAAAATCACATTATTATGTCAGCAAATTAGATCAAATATTTAGATCCAAATAGCATTACACTTGCAATAAATGAAGCATTAATATTGTTATTTGAAAATTATAACGTACTAGGGGTAACCCATGTCTAAATGCACGTGAGCGAAAATCCAAAAGAGAGAGAGAGTGAAAAGTGAAAAGAGGAAGATAAAATTCAATATAAATAGTTTTAAATGGGGGTGTTAGTGGCTGTTAGATCAGTCTATTTGAGACCACTAGATGAGTTTATTAAAACCTAACATGTTTTATACTAACAATGCACCACGTGCGTTACACATGAATAATTTTTATACATAAAATTAATAAAATATATTAGGTATATGTGTGTTTGAATTAAATATCATTTCAAATTCACAAAACTTAATTTTTTATTACTCAAATCTATATAATAAAGTAGCTTACAATTCAAATTTAAAAAAATAGACTTTTATTTTTTGCGGTTCAGATCGCTTTAAATTTTATTCTAAAGTTAATATAACGGCTAATACTAACACCCTAAATTTAATAGGAAAAATAGGGTCCTAAGAGTGTGTTTAGGGTGACTTTTTAAAAGTACTTCTAAAATTTTTTTCTCACTCGCCACCATCACCACCGCTACCAATGCCACCACCACAACCATCACCACCTCCGTCGCCACCGCCACTACCACTACCACCGCCGTCGCCGCCACCATCACCACCACTACCACGATCGCCGCCACCCCACCACCACTGCCCCCACCCTGCCACCGCCTCCACCACCACCCCCACTACCATTATCGCCGCTACTGCCACCATCTTCATCGCCACCCCACCACC